AGAAGGTCCTGGTCGCTACAACGATGTTCAACGTCATGCAGAAGGTCCTGGGCGCTACAACGATGTTCAACGTCATGCAGAAGGTCCTGGGCGCTACAACGATGCTCAGCGCCAGGGAGAGGGGGGCGGTCGCCATGCAGATGGCTACCGCCACGGTGACAGCCGGCACGGGGACAGCCATCGCCACAGTGAAAACCGGCACCTTCCGGATCCAAGTGGTGGCAATCGCAATAACGGTGAGAGCAGGAATAGCAATGAAGAGAGGAACAACGAGAACAGGAACGGGGAGAACAGGAAGGAAGGCAGCAGCCGAGACAACAAGACAGATGGTTTTGCTGTCCCCGAGCCCCCAAAGCGCAAGAAGAGCCGATGGGACAGTTAAAAGCTGGTGCTTGGCAGCCTGGAATCCCTGCAGGTAGTGATATTGTTTTCCAGAGGATTTCTTGGTCTTTGGGGTGACTGGTTTTTGAGCAGCTGAGGGAGGAGAAAACCGTGCAAACTCCCCATGTAAAGGCCGGTACATCTGCGGGCAGCTCCACTCTAATGACGTGTACATGCAACGCCTAGTCAAAGAGGAATCACTTTGATAAAACTCCCCGGATTCTGCTTTCCAGCATTCACTGCTCAAGGATTCTGTGCTGGATTTAAACAGGACTTGTTGGCATGAAAGAGACTGTTGGTTTCACATCTGTGGGACACTGAGAAACTGTTGTCCATGCAAGTTTAAAGTTGTCTTTTTCTTAATCAGCGTGCACATTTAAAAACCTGTCCATTTAGAGGTGCTCAGGACCCACCTGTTAAACATTAACCTTCCGGCAATTTGTTCAGTACAGTGAATTCTTCTGCAATCTATTCTCTCCATGTATTCTCTCATTCCCAAATACTTTGGTCTCCAGGTTACTCCCTATGTCTCTCCCCATTCAATTAAGAATAGATAAATTTGTGTTGCTGCAGGTGGGATAGAGCAAGCTGATTTTTTCTTTCCTTTTTATTTTATTTTTTACCTGAAGCTGCTCAAACAACCCCCATCCCAGCTCACCCTGGCGCTGTGTGTAGAGCAGGATGGAGCCCCTGGCTTGGTGGTGGTCGGTGTGTCGCTCTCATTGCCCACGTGGCTTTTTCTCCTACAGCCCCTCTTCTCCCCAGATAACCTTCATCTTGGTGGAGCCTGCATAGCAAATGACTCTGCGGTGCCTATTCACCCTCTGTTATGAGAGGGCCAAGTGCTTTCATCAAAGGAGAAACAAAAAAGGGAAAGAAAAAATATTCCCCTCTAGTCAAAGGCTGATGCCCCCCCGTGAAGCTAAATGAAGGGACCTGCTGCTGAGAAGCCTGTAGGGAGAACCTGAAAAGTGTTTGAAGTGGAACAGCTCAAATATAACCCCGTATTGGACACATGTAGTTAAAACTGTAAAATTTGGCTTGACCATTTTTAACTCATTGTGTGTATTATTCTTTTTTTAACTTTTTTTTTT